AAAAAGTGTCAAAATGTGAGTAACATTGGTGTAAATAAAAAAAGAAAGAGAAGGTTAAATCAACACTTTCTCGATTAAAAATATACAGAAAATAAGTCAAAGAAAAATGTTAAGTGAAGCCTCCTTGCAGGGATTTATGAAAAAAATGTGTTGACCACATTAATGAAGAACATAGGACACAAAATCTTTAGGGCTGCATCTTGGGTTGAACAAATAGGTTATACTTTAAATACATGTGAGCGTTTATACAGACTGTCCCAAAAGTCCCGGACCGGTTTAATATTTTCTAAACAACAACAGATGAATCAATAAGATTTGGTACATCAACACCACACCTAAAAATCTACTTTTTTAAGGAAATATCAATTTTCTGTCACATCATGGAGACGTCCCACAAGGAGTCAGAAGGACATCTTAAATAGAAGCATAGGTTAACATGCACATCAAATACTAGCAGAATATAATGCCGCATATTTGAACTCAAACGGATAACTGAGTAAAAAATGGCAGCCGTTCAAAGATTTCTTGAATCTGCCATTTTGAATCTTTGAACGACTGCCATTTTTTATTCAGGCCTTCTATTGAGCTTGAATTTACGGCATTGTAATCTACTAGGGAAGACCTTTAATTTGATGTGCATATCGACCTATGCTTACGTTAACAATTTTCTTCCGATTCCTAGGGCTGTGTCCCCCGAGGAGTAAGCGTATAATAGCAATGTAAATTAGATGAATCTTTGAACCACTACATTCTTGACTCGGCTGTCCGTTTGAGTTCAAAATTGCGGCATTATATTCTGCTAGCAAAGACCTTTAATTTGATGTACATTTCAACCTGTGCTTCTTTTTAAGATTTCCTAATGACTCCTTGTAGGACGTCTCCATGATGTGACAGAAAATTTATATTTCCTTAAAAAAGTAGATTTTTAGGTGTGGTGTTGTTGTGCAAAAATCTTATTGATTTATCTGTTGTCGTTTAGAAAATATTAAACCGGTCCGGGACTTTTGGGACAGTCTGTATATCACGAGACGCACAACATAAAAAAACGATGAATTTGAACGACATTGTTAACATAAACGGTATCAGCAATTTGACACATACTTTATCTCATTAGCTTGTGCACAACCTTTATCATGGGTAAACGGTGTGAGTAACTATCATATTTTATAGGGAAAATGTCAACAGTTGCAATAACTTACAGCAATTGGGGGTTGTACTATTTTTTTATTATAAGGGCCAATCAATTTTAAACAATACCGGTTTTTTTAATACGATAATTTGTTTTTAATGTGGTTTTTATGAGAAAATAACATAAGCTACAATAATTTTTGAACCGTAATTTAAACGGAAATGGTAGAATTCAAAAGTTTATAACATACTAAATTTTTATAAAAAATAGATCGGACCATTTTCGAGAAAATCCGATTTTTCTATCAATTTATGGAAGAATCGCCATGAAAATAAAAATAGAATAAAAGAACTCCTGGAGATACTATGGATTAGTACCTCAGGACCTACATAACAAATTTCAATAAAATCGGACTACAGTTGTGGTCTGTAGCTCTGTACACATCCACACATACAGACACACACACACCTATTAAATTCTCTTAACCTGAATACATTTTACCTTTGAAAAACTCTTCTACTATACTCTCTTGAAAAAGTTTATAACATCGGCAGTAAAAACGAAAATTTAAGTTATCATTTATATTTTATTTTTGAATATAACAAAACTGTGCAAATAAATGTATATGTGTGTATCGATAGAACAGGTGTAAGCATGAATTGACACACTGACAAGCTTACTAACAGACAGCCACAGCCGGCTTGTTCGTTATCAGCTGTTCACTTGAATCAGCTGTTAGCTGACATCAGCTTACTGATTGTTTACTTTTTGTTTTGCATCTACCTAACACTTCTGTCTGTTGTGAACAATTGATAGAAATATTGTTTTTATTTTTATTATTATATTTTTATTATTAATTTATCTGCTATTATAAGAAATTGGACCTAAATTTATTAGTGGTGAACTGAGTAACTGCTTTTATCTAATGAATAGTTCGTAGATTGTATAGTTTGAATTAAATAATCTTAAATAAATGCTTTTACTCTGCAGCCATGGAGAATACAAATAATGAGAAAACAAGGGGCTCTAAAAGGATGGAAAAGGAATATTCAGTTAGGAAAAAGGGTCAAATAAATGAAAAAATATATTTTAATTTTATTTATCCTGGGGGAAAAGTTGTTCAAAAAAAAAAAAACAGCTAATAGGCAATGTAGCTGCTTAACACCTCAAAGTATACATTGACGATTTTGACTTTTCCATAAATTCAAAATTACACAAAAATAAAAAAAGTTGCAGACAAGAGGAGTCTTCTGATGAAAATAACTCAATTTCAAGTATAGAGATTCTTAAATATTCAAGAAAACTCCACTTTTGAAAACTTCCAGGCCTCGCCAGTTATTCCTCAGACAAATCCAAAAGCTCCTGGCACTGACAAAACACCGTTGACCAGCCATCCCCCTTTAAACAATAATAATATACCCTATGATGCACAAAACATCATAGTCAGTTAAAACCACCTATTAGCCAAGTCAGTGCAGAAGAGGATGTGTGTAAATCTCTGCTTGAATCCAAATAGGTGACTGATGATGTAGTAAAAAGTTACTTTGATTTGTTAAATAACAAAATATTAGAAGATGTTCACTTCCTGAATCCTTTAGTTACAATTGCAGTAAAAATCTTGATCGAGTTCACACATATTTTACAGTCACTAGATCTTATGAAAAAATCTTATTTGTTCCTTAAATTACTCCCCAGCTGTTCAAAGGATCTGTGGATCTGGCTCACATTGGAGCCTGTTGGTATACAATAGGTGCCAACCTTTGACTCAATAAATGGCAAATCACGGCTCATGCAAAAACCCTTACCCACAAATTCACCAAATTGTTCAATCTTGATGAGGATTAATCAATAATCAATGTGAATGTTACTCAACAAAATAAAGGGTTGGACACAGGATACAATGGTGACTGTGGGATCTACATGCTTCTGACCACAGATGTTTTATCTAAGAATCGTGTAGAGACAAACTGCAACACTTCATTCAGTATTGAACTTTTTAAAAATATAATACCTCATGTTGCATCTGAGGATATTATAACAAAAAGAGCCCAACTAGCGCTACTTTTACAAAAAAAAAAAAAAAAACACATACATTTTGACAAAAGCCTTCTTTTCGGCTTAATGTTAAGCAAACAAATTAAAACAAATTGCAAACTGTTAACTGAAAAATGAAAAATGTTGTACGAAGTAAAGGTTGATCTGTTAGCTAAGCTTGAAAGAAATAACTGCCAAACCAACAACTCTCTCTTTTAATAAACAATCAAAGAACATTCATAAGCCAACAAATCAATATTCCCTAAAAAGAAGATGAGGTCTAAGCCCCAGTCATTAAAATAAGTTTGTTTTACCTACAGCTAACAAATTCAAACCACTTGAAGAGGACATACAGAAAGCCACATCTCCAGAAGTATTTTGAAATGATCCATACCTACTACACTTTGGCCAACTCTGAAAGTTCTGAGTGACATGGATCATCTCATAAAAAACTGGTATCTTCAAGTTTGTAGTAGCGTGATGCCAGGTGCACATTTGGGTTTAGTTATGAGTAAATCTAAAACAATAGTTAAAAATAACAATGTGGTACTCATCGCTGGAACGAATCATACTACAATGGATAGAAAAAGGTAGTTCTCCATAATTTTAAACCCGCGATTATATCCCTAAAGCCTTGCAATGTCTTGTTTGGCAGTATACCATTCTGACGCTACTTGGCTCTCAATCACCAAATTAATAAAGACATTGTGTAAGTTGACATTTACATTCATGAATTTTCTCAGACTTTACCTGGTGTTTAATTCTTGGATCTTACTGGTTTGCCTACCCGCTGTTATGAACCATCTGAAACTTCTTGAAAAACAGTTTTTGAGCCAAAAAATCGACATACTGGTGTCTACCTCATCTCAGGGCATTACAAAACAGAATGCAATACCTCACAATGACAATATCACGATCTTGAATCAAAATATGGATGAAGAAAACAAGAAATTCAAAAGTAACGAACATTTGCACACTGTATATCTATATATCTGTATATCTGTATATTGTTTGCAGATGTAAACAGTCATAGAAATATGTCGGCAGGAGTTGCTGTTATCTTTCGGAAGTAATTTAAAATACCTTCTCCATTAGAATTTTTCAGCCACCACTTACGTGCCAAATGCATACTTATTCTGCTATTGTTTATGGTCTAGCGACTAAGGCTGAGTACAATCTAAAGCCAACAGATGAAGGTTACCTTATAGCATTTACGCAGATGAAGGAAGATTTCAAGAAAAAAACTGACAGAATTAATTGCTCCCCATGGGCTGTGTTCGAGACAATATCAAGCTAGGACTGTTTGCCAAGAGAATTGTCAAATTCCAGCGGAGCACGAATGCTCAGGTAACGATAGTTACATACGAGCAGCCTTCGGCCACAAGAGTTCTATTTCAAGGGTATCCTCACCTTGAAATCATCAAACGCATACAGCACTAGTTAAATAATAAAACCTTAATACAATTTACTAACAAAATACAACATAATGATTCAAAAAACAACACAATACAAAACAAAATACAACATAATAATACAACCTAATTACAACATAAGTTAAAGTAAACTTAAACATTATGAAAAGCTAATTAGAGAATTGTCAAATGTTTAGTTAAACTACTTGGACAATTATTGGAGAAGAAATTAATATTAAACATATTGCCGTGAAACTTTTTTTGAAATTGCTAGAATTATAACAAACGATGACTAAGCTCATCAACCAGCCATATTTACCTGATGTAAAAAATATGTCTAAGTGTCAGGAACTAGGTTTATGACAGACAACAGGTGGTAGCTTACCAGTTGTTGTGCGTCATACACCTAATATATATATGGCGTAAAAAACTGCTCCGTACACATAATTCGTTATCTGCTGTTCTTACTAACAGGTAGGATTTTGAAACAAAAATTTGCTTAGTTCACAAGTTTCTTAGATAAGATAAGACGACAATATCATTTTTGTATGCTTTTGAAGTATAAGTATGTTTATATGCAAAATTGCATTAGCACATAAGCTACCATAATCGTACGAACATTCTACAAAAGTAGCCGTATCATGTATTTTTATATTTTACTTTGCCAAAAATGATCATTCTAGTTACCCAACCATATAACTGCTTACACCTTACCTGCTTATAGCAATATAATGCTTTGCCTTACTGTATTATTTCAGAACACCAATGGGTTTACAAATCGGGTATATTATGTATAACAATCATCTTTAATAAATAAAAAAAATAACACTCAAGTTATAACAGCCACAGATAGTATAAACCTTAGTATTAATCATTCATTGCCATTGTCCACCATATATAGAAAGAGAAAACCCTAATATCCAATGTCGACACCTCTTTGCTAATAGGCCTACTAGAGAAATACACCCGACGTGGCAAACTTTGCAGACTAAACAAATTCTAATTACCTTGTTTTAGTTTCACTAAAACTTACCCTTGGAATCGTCAATTTTATTTTAAATTTTAATATCTTAGAGATACCGCAGAGTTAGAAGGAACTCTGCATCAATCACATATTTAACTAAGGATTTTTTTGTATGTATTAGATGGATTGAAATATGTATTAACATTTTGTATTATATTTATTAATCAATGTGTATGTCAATGTAGAGTCTTGCTTGCTTTGTTCAACTCTCTAAATGTGTTTTACAATATTTTTTTTATTTATCACAAAATTTATCGATGTTAAAATTTATTATTTACTGGATTGTATAGTTGCCCATATAATCTATATAAATAATACGCTACATGAAACTTTGTCGGTTGAACTCCTCCGCCATTTCTTAACCGATTTTATCCGTTGACGTCTCATTGGAAAGAGCGTGTCGCGTAGATTTGCAAACTGGCCTTTAATTTTTGAAAAAGTCCCTTGGGCTCTGCCCCAGTGGCTTTGAAATTTCCCATGTTTTCCTTATGAAGAACATAATTGTTTACATTTTGATCAGCTGTATAATTTAATTGCTGTTATTTATTTGTCAATTCAATGAAACGCATTGAGTACATTTATTTACTATTTGAGTTTTTGTGTAAACATAGCCCCCAAGACGGATCGTGTTAGCATGATTGTAACTTCAATTTGCGCATTTATCGTTGTTTTGTGTGGCTATAATTTGTTTATTTGTTGTTTTTTCTTTTAAATGCCTCCGAGCCGACGACAACGAAACATAAGGAGGCGTAATCGTGATAACGACCGCATCTACAGAACAGTGGCGCGTAATAGGCTTAACTCATCACAGTCAGCACCTGACCTTGGACAATCTCAACTATTAGGTTACAAATGCGCCCTAACACTAACCCAAAACGACTTTTCGTTCTCAATTGGTCCTCTATCAATGACCTGTGTTGCCTGTACAGCGAGGTATTTTGAGAAGAAGAAAACCGGCCGGAATGCTTTAGGTTTAACAATAACGAAGATAAACATGGACAACCTTATACGCTGTAAGTCAGGAAATGTTTGAAGAAAACATTAAAAAGCAATACCAGGTTATGAAATATGATACAATATTTACAGGAAATGTTGATTACTGTTATATACATCGTGAGTATCTCCATGAGTTACACAATGGTAATCTTTGAGTTGACTCTCTTAAACTTATTGTAACTTATTGTTATTCGTTTTTAAATAACCCCTGTAATTCTTTGCAATTGCTCAAATTCGAGCAACATGTACACTAGTTTATATAAACACGTAGAATGATTGCTTGTATTGATATTGATTGCTTGTATCAATTATGTAATGCTCTTGGCCGTTGGAATGAAATAAAAAAAATAATAAACATTAATTTGATGTGTAATTAGGTTTGCTGTTACACGGAACTTAATAAAGAATGTGTTTTTTCATTGAAAAATAATTTTCATAGTGGCTAAGTATGAAATAAACAAAGATTGTCACAAAAACATTTTTAAATTTCAGATAAAAAGTCATAGACCGGTGGCTGTTTTAATATTCTGTCGAAATAGTATAGTAATTTTAAATCAACAGAGTTACATAAGCGATTGCAGTTACCCGCGTTTGCGTTTTGTTGGTGTATAATACTGTTCAAATTATACATCTATCTTATGACTACTCTGTATTTATTCTTTTACCAAAGAACCACCCAACCCAAAACGTACATCAGTCTACAATTATTTCAGTTCCATTTACAACGATTGTCACAAAAAAAATTAAATTTCAGATAAAAAGTCATAGACCGGTGGCTATTTTAATATTCTGTCGAAATAGATTATACGTAAAATATTACTAACAGTATCGAACAAAATTACTTTCAAATACACAAAAAAACTATTTTAAAACTCAACGCAGCATATTTTCCAGACAAATCATCATGAAGAGCTACCTGGTAATTATATTAGTCATCTACTGGATGGGAACAGAAGCGGCTGAGGAAACAGGCGGAAGTTCCGCTGTGGCGGAAAACAAGGGAGGGACTGATGATAAGGCTACAGGAACAGTCGCAGCTGAGGAAACAGGCGGAAGTTCCGCTGTGGCGGAAAACAAGGAAGGGACTGACGATAAGGCTACAAAAACTCAGGTATCGGTAATGAAAGATTTTGGAATAAATAGTTCTAAAATAAGTAAAGCTATATAGTGCACAAGTGTTTTTTTATTTAGTTCCAAAAATACGTTTATCGCAAACTTTCTTTGTTATCGAGCACCCTAAAGCGTTAGTCATTAACTCAAGATAGAACTCACTTAATATCGATATGTATGCAACATTAACTTAAAGAAAATATTTTTAGGTAGTACCATTGACCATAAACAGAAAGTACTTTCCATGTAATGTAAAAAAAATGAAGAAAAAACGTGGTGCAATCTTTTGAGATGGTATACCAACTAACGATAATATTCCGTCATATTAAACAGCTGATAGTGTTTACCCTCTGGTGAGATGGTCTGTACTATTGACTTGGTCAATGGTCAAGTCCTTGAAGAAGGTAGAAAATACGAATACGTAACACCATTTGATTTTAATTTCAACTCCTCATAGATGTAAGAAACATGCAAATTTAGTGTTGAATACGGCCTTTCGATACCGTGGGAACAAGTGACTAGCCATATAGAGTATCAAATTAGTAATTATATATTGAAAACAAAATGTTTTTCATTGATGTATTGGCTCAAAACTCCCTTGTTATACCTTCCACGACCTGTTTTCTACCTTCTTTTGCTTTTTTGAACTTATTTATAAAATCCTTTCAAAAAATAAAATATTTTATAAAATGTTTTTTGTTATACGTTAAAACATATTTGGTCAAATTTTAGTAAACACCTCTGTAATGTATTCTTAAAAAAGTATTATAAAAAAATAAAATAACTAAGTACAGGCAAATAAATAATAAGATATTTCAATAGAGCAAAGGCTCCTTCATAGACGGCACTCAGTTATTTAAGAATTAGTTTTTTATTGAAGTCGAAAAAATGTTTCAGGGGGTAAACCGATATTTAGTACCGGATTTCAAAAAGGTAAATATCAACATACAAGTAAGTCTCTAGATTAATAGTCGATAGTGAACTGTATTACACGTAAGTTAATCTTCTTTTCATCACTCCGTAACGAAAGTAACTATTTTCGATAACAGCTGACATCAATGAAAGTAGTCGTTTCCCAAGCTCTAATTATTTAGAGCGAGGGAAAATCGATCAGCTGATTTTCCCTCGCTCTCAATTAGTTCTCCATTTATTCTCTACGCGCGCTAGTGTTTTGTTATGGTTTAATTTAATGATTTGAATCAGCTGTATGTATTGTTAAAAGAAGTTTTATTCTTTTATTTTCGTGTTTAAACCAAATTTATTGAGAAATATACGTAGGTTTTCTTTTAGAAGATTTTATTTTATTTTGATGTTCAATCGAATGAATTAAGAAATAAAACAGTTGTAATATTACTGAGGTCTGTTAATCTGTGTTTGTGTATTTTTGCGTCGTGATGAAAAGTATCGTTCATAACTCGTACCGAAAGTTATTATCCGGCACTTGCTCAATTATTCCCGTCCTCGGCTTCGCCTCGTACGTGAAAATAGCTCTCGCATACTCGGCTTCGCCTCGCACGTGGAATTGGAGTTTCCTGTGTTGGGCTTCGCCTCACACAAGAACTTGAGCGCGCGACGGAAAATGCCACTTTCGGTCCTAGTATTGAAATATACTATTTCGATCACATTATTGTTGTTTTCATTATTGAGATTGAACTCCATGTTGAATCAACTCACTGATATCAAAACCGACATCTTGCTGTAAATGCTTAAGTTTAGACCCAAACACCAACGGAATGTTGATAAAATTCGGTGGAACCTTTCTACAATATTGAAGAATTCTTTGTATGTGAGCTTAGTTTTTTAACCTCATTGCATTTTATCTGCGATTCCATATAGTGTTGTATTTGTAAATTGTTCAACATGTTAACCTTTCGTTGCTACTTAGCTCTTAAGATTGCCTGTATTTACATTTTTTATATTAAAAAACTGATGATAGCCTGGTCAGATGTGTTGTAAGAAAGTTAGCATATCTTCGGTGCAAGAGGAACGGTCTTAATACAAGGATTATTCACAGAAATGTCATACGTTTGAAACGGTTAGTCCTGAAAGCGTTAGCTATTTCTTTACTAGAAGTGCAACATGCAACTCACCTATATACTAAAAAAACTCTACAATGAACCTTGACAAAACAATACATCAACATATTTAACTTTTTCATACTTCAAGTGCAACTAGCCCCAAAGGCTCGGGTGTCTGGTTTCCCGACTCTTCAACAATCAACTCGGCGAAACCGTTTGTCAGTGGATTTTGAATGCCTACCTTGCGACTATTGACAGGTGACTAAAGGTTTAACAGATATAGGATTATTAGTAACGATGATATTTGAGTTTAAAAGAATATTGCAAGGTTTCACCGTTAAGGCAACACTTCGTCGCGCATTATTATAAACAAATCTACCTTATCAATCAGCAGTGTTAAACTGTGTTTAGCTTCGTATAAGGTTGACCCTAAGTTGGAAACAATACCATCTTTCCAACACTGACTTTACCAAACCATCTTTGGTTCACAGCATTTGTAAATTACACAATTAAATATTTATAAATTATGATCAGTGTAAAAAGAAACAGTGCTTTAAAAACTCTTGGTGACGTTAAGCTTTAAGGTGTACATACATGAAGATGCCTCGATTGCCACTACTACTGAACAACAACACCAAGAACAAAGAGGCAACTAATATCATAAAAGGTAATTTAGTTTTGAGTAGGCCTAGTAATAAACCAACCTCAAAACTAGAAACCCATTTAAAATTATTTCCTCATAGATGGCCGAGTTAAGGAAACAACATTCGAAGACCGGGTCTGGAGCTTCCGACGTATCTGTGAGTTGAATATAATTGATAAATAGTGATATATATTTCGAAAATCTATTTAATCAACAATTGTTTTTGTGGTACCCTTAACAAAAAAGTACATTTCAGCGTAAACTTCTACAAATATACATTTTGAATGTACAAAGATGATTTGGTTTCATTTTAGACTAGAAAATACAATGACCATTAGTATGTAGTGTGAATTTAGGAACATAATTAAACACAATAGCTTACAACCAATATATTGTACAAGAGGCTAAGTTATGTGCTGATAGTTTAAAACGTGTTTATTAAACTGTTTCAATGTTATCACTTTGGCGGTCTTATGTTCACCATATTATTTCAACGTCAAATTTCGTGTTTGGGTAGCCGAGTGGTTTTATCTCTCTCAAGAACGATCTAGTGTAGAACTAGATGCCTTTATCACTGGAATTTCAAGCAATGGCCCATGTAAAAAAATAAGAAAAAATTGAAAAAAGAGCACTGTTGTATTATTGTGAGCTAAAATCCCCCGGAAATATTCTTACTTACGAACATATCTTTGTTTACCTAAAAACGTATTTTTTATATACAAGAACGTAATAAAAGCATGCATTTGCACTAACGTAAAATTTAACTACATATTTATTCACTTGCAGCATTTACGGAACTGTGCAGTAAATTCAGGTATACTTTTAATCAGGTTAGTTTATTTAAATAAAAACTATACAGGGTGATTGGTAGTCAGTGTGACAAATTTTTGTGGTGTAAGTACAAAGTAAATGAAGTGTGATGATGCATATAAGAGGTTCCAAGTCTAAAAATTAGATTCCCAAAGAATTATTTTAATTTTATAAAAATATCCAGGTTTTTAAACTTATCACAGCAATTTCTCAATTACCTATAAAAGGATTTGAGTGGATGATGTCATTTTCGTGTTCTACAATAATCTTGAATAAGAATAATAATAAACGATGGAAGATCAATAGTAAAAACTCCATTGTAAATAGATCCAAATATAAAAATTAAGATGTTTGATAACAAATTTAATAAATATTGGTCTACTGCATTTTTTTTACACCCTGTATACAAGAAGGTGGTCAAATATGTTAGGCTAAAACTGCGCCATTTTATAAGCTTTCCAACAATATGGTACACTATTGAGGTTTGGATATGCTTTTGTTTGTTTTAGTGGTTTGAATACTAGAAAACAGGGAACTTTTTACTGTTCAAACTGAAACAAAAATACAAGTTTAGCTTGATACAGGCCGACTTTCTATGTTTTAAATGTTAAAGACACCATGTTTTGAAGTCTTCAAACCACTAAACCGTACATAGGCAGACATAAAGCTCAATAGTGTCGCATGTGGTTGGAAAGCTTATAAAATGGCGCAGTTTTTAACATATTTGGCCACCTTCTTGTATACAGGATGTAGAAAAATGCGATAGACCAACCTGTATTTATTGCAGCACGATTTAACCAAAACAGAAGAAAAAAGAAAATCCGCTTCCTCCTCTATATTAATTTGACAATTAGCATAAAAGGGTTTTGTGTGCAATTCATATTAATTCACTTTACATTTTTACAGCCTTCAGGTGAAGAGGAAGTTAAAAGTGATGACTCGACCTCCCCTCCTGCTGGCGACGCGCCTAAATAGGGAGTCCTCGGAGCGCGCCTGTGAATTGAATCCAAACAAGAAATGGCGATCATTGTTACAGGAATATTAAAAATATGTTTTTTCAATAACTAATGATAACATAATATCAATAGTTTATGATTGGATTTGAAATTCAAGTAACATTAGTTGTTATAAGTTGTTGTAACGGCATGTTTTAATAAATACTATTGCTATGAAAATGAATGTTTTGTTTCTTAAATCCACTGTCGAATTTAATAACCAATTTACTTCTTTAACTACGTAGGGTGAATGCATAGTAACTTCATTACAAAGTTTCCAGAATTTAAGGAACGAGTGTCATATGAAATCTACAGGAAAACACTTCAAAGATTTTGCAAAACTTGGGGATTGACAATGTGAGCGGTTAGAGGAATTTAAGACTTGATGACATTAATTTACAGGAAGATAATAATTTGGTAAGTTTAATGTAAAACAGATTTCATAGGTCTCGTGACTTATATGGGAAATTTGCAAAACCAGAAGAAGATAATTATGCTTTCACTAATTGACCTGTTTAATTTATGTACTATTCACACCTCGCATAATAGTATACAATGAAACATTTACTTCAGTGGGTAAGCAACCCAATCTAAAACCTCACGCTATCTTCTGGTGTGAGGCGACGTCCGGTACAAACAAAGAAGACATTGTAAGTGCTTTGTTCCCTTTTTTAACAGAGAGATGTGAAGAACTTTATTATTTGGCCATACATCTGTTAGGCCCAAAATAAAAACTGGTGCATTTTATAATTTCTTGTCTATGCTGTAAATTGTGCTGGATTGAATTACGATAAGATTAGCTTTCCTTATTTCGAGCTTATGTTTAACTATTTTGACTTTATGTTTTATAACAAACTAGCTGGCCCGACAGACGTCGTCCTGTCCTAATGTGGTTTTATGTCAAATGCTCGTTCATTTTCAAGATGAGCTCGTTCCCATCACTCAATCATATCCTGGTTGAAGTTCGTTCGCTACGCTCACTCACCTTTGCAAATTAGCTGTTGTCATAAATTTAAAAAATAATAGTGCTGCACCCTGTTGGTAAACCTATTAACTTTTTAATGCTATTGAACATCACAGAATCAAATTGTTTAGTTGAGCCAGCTGTTAAGCTTCTTTGATTCCATTTAAATTTGAGTACTCATAAGGTTAACATGGGAAACTCCAGAGCCACTGGGGCGGAGCCCTTTTGACGGATCTGCACCAAACTTCACACAAACCATCCTAGAATAATGCTTAATAATACCTGAAAGTTTCATAACAATCTGTCGAGTGGTTTCGGACTCCATAACGTTCAAATATATATATATATGTATATATACAAAATTCCTCTTTTATAAATATAAATTGGCTGTTTATGGGAATGTTTCCGTCCTTTTTTACTCCAAAGTATTAATAATTGATTTAAGTTAGCTCTATCCTGTATTTTGCCTGATTTCTTTAGACTTACATTCATTGCAAATGATGTGAAATTTATGGAAGAAGTGTGTTATAAAAGATTCCCTTATCCTCACAGAAATAATTGGTAAGACTACGAAAAAAGGTGCAATCTTAAAAATTCACAAACATACGAAGAAACTAAATCTTTTCGACCGAGGATGTTAAAATTATTTTTTTAGTTTGAATAAACTTATGTATACAAGGTTATGAGTTACATAAATTGTTTCTTTATATACATTACTAGAATATCTTCTATTAAAAGTTTTACCTACAACTAAAATTTAGGATAATTAATTAAGCATCTCGTTTAAGAGATGCGAAGAAAGAAAAAAAGACCCGTAAATAAATGCTCCCTTCTAAGTTAAAATTATTGAAAGATTTGAAACATTTTGTATCTATTGTTATTCTTTTAAGTTTTTTTATTATTTTATAATGACAGCTTGTTTAAGTCTTACGCAAATTATAAGTGTTTTCATGTTGAAATATCTGAGTAACCGAAAAAACCCAGTATGTATAGTAAGTTGTATTTAAAATTCGTAATAAAGTATTTTGTAGCCTCAATGAAGGTCAATGAATTATATCAATTATTTAAGATGGGGACGCCACTATGTGTGTATTTTAACCCAAATATGAGTGAAGGATGAGTGTAGGATCAGTGGCGCGATCTTGTAGTCTGGTTAGTGACTAAGGTCGACATGTTCCTTAAGCCATGGCCCATAAAGCCAACGGCAACTAAGAGACCTACAGTTTATAGGGGAATCCGAACCACATATTTTCTTGTAATTAACGAATTGGTCTAATTATCAGGATAGCACTGCGTATAGTCGTAGTACTCACTAGTTTGGACATTAATCCACACAAGGGAGTATCGCATCCACAGTACATGCCTATAAACATCCACAATTCGTGACCTCTTAGTTGCTGGATTACAGGACAACGCCACCGTCCCGGTAGTTATTAGGAAATCGAATTCAGGAAGCATTGTTTTACATGTATAAAAATAAAACTACTGAATAGTTTATGTAAATAGACGGTAAATCGCAAAGACAACGTTTTACATCCAGTTCGTAAGCATTTGAGTCTAACATACAATGACAATGGAATGAAAGCATCACACACTTTATGTGAGTACCTGGACCTTTGTAATATGTTTACGATAAGAATAGGGGTTAACAGTAAAAAAATAAACCTTTTTAAGAATAGATTTACTTAATAATGCAGTGTATTTTTAGAAAAATGCACACATTTTTGGAAATTTCTTTTGTTAAGATTTGTAAGCCGTGGAAGTAAAGTAAATATCTAGTTATGAGTAAATACTTGACAACAATACTTGATCTAAAATAATTTGTTATGCGTTAGTAAATTATAATGGTATACATAATGTACCGTTTTGAATAAAAACACGATTCAGGAATCTGACACCAATACATTTTTCTTAATTAAGTACCTAAATAGATTTCAAATATTATTGTTTGGGTCATGTCTATGAGCGATGTAAGTCAACTTTTATTCTTTGCAATCCTATAGAGGTCCCTAGAGAGGGAAAAACAAAACAAACATCTTTAAAACTTTCACGGGCAGTTAAAGTTTTTTTTTACGAACCCTTCAAAGGAAATAACATCTGAATCTAAAATTATTTTGTAAACAGCCTCTTTGATCATCTTTCAGATAAAATAATTGCAGATATCAATTGTTAGATAATTAAACAGGAAAATCACAATTTTAACTTGTTTTTTTTCCTCCTCCCTCTTTTAAAGATCAGAAAAGTTGTGTTGTCTGCAGACGAAATCTTTGAGAGGGAAAGACAGCATTTCTGATAACGTTCCCCTCACACCGAAGTGCTGCTTATAGTATAAAGAGTAAAATATTAAAGAAAGAATATTAGATTACCTTAAATGCTTAGTACAAATATTCTTTGATAGTTTTTTTTTATTTTTATTATTATTTATTATAATGTTTTGGGTTAGGATGATGAGTAGACAGAATTTTTTAAAGACATATATAAGAAGTCTTGCATTTTCACTTTTGAAAGCTAATAACCAATAAAAACAATAAAAGTTGCAGAACGTTTGAAAAAGTTCAGCACACAAAATTGTTATTGAAAAAATCTATTTTAATATTTCATTCCCCTTTTAAATTATGCAAAACTTGCATTTGTGATTTCCCATTTGCATAAGTGTTCAGCAGGCTTAGTCTCAATCACTAAAACAACGCTGCTGAAAACGTCCCTCTTGAGACAATAGAATACAAACATCAATATTGCCAATGGATTGTCCTATGAGAGGCTGTCGTTCGCTTAGTTGATAAATTAAATATTAGTTTTAATTAGTTAAATTATTTTTGTAATTAGTTTTATTGTCATTTATAAATACAGACACATATATTTAACTTCAGTTAAATTAATTTTACACTTTCAAGCGGTGACTATTTTTTTAAATTAGTTTTTTATGAAAGTAAAGTCGTCTCTACTATTAATTGTATGATAATTAAAATAATAAAAAAATTTAATAACGGTAATGACTGTACGTGTCAAGTATTCATTAGTTGTAAGTTTTTAAATTTAGTAATAAACGGGTTTCAAGCAAGAATCATTTTATATTAATTTTGCACAACAATAATTATGTTCTATTACAATTTACACTTTTATTCAATTTTAATAATAAAAACTATCATATGTTATTACATAATGCTTATAGCTTGAATTATATTTCATTATCGATATTGGCGCATACTTTTTCGCCGCCCTGACGCATATTCTTGACATCGCCATTCAAGATTTCCATTCACCAATGCATCTAGGTCAGTTTTCGTCATGTTCATACATTTTAAGTGAAAACATTTGTTACACTCGGCGCATGTCAAATAGTTAGTTGTTCAAGTTTAAAGTTAGTTAGTTTTATAAGATTAAAAGTTAGATAAAACTGAAATAAGTTGAGAGTTTGGATCACAGTTTTTGTATTTTCATACTAACAATTATAAGTTCAAAACAATAACAAATGAATTATAACCAGCTGGCATTAAATATATTAATGTAATCCATGCCTTTGGCACACTCCGGGCGAAGGACAAACACTAATAATTCTTCACTTCTAGTGGATACATAATAATACATAATGGATACATAATGGAATAGCGGACTGCAATCTCAATATTCCATATTCATCCAAAAACAACCCTAACTGTTTTTGGAGATGATTAGTCCTGCCAAGTTTTAAGCTTTTAATACTAGTGCTGAAATGCAAGCTTTGTATGTATCTCAACCAACATAAAGTAGACTCATGAAGCTCTTCGAAGCTCAATTTGTTGGATGTAAATTGAGTTGAAAGTTTCTTGAATGCTTTAATAGCTCGTTTGCAATATGCTGTCGTTCGAATTAGTTTATCTAGAGACGAGAACTTTGTACAATCAATGTCAAAAGGACTTCCTTTACTTGTGGATTCTTGAGTTGCAGCCATAACTTCTTGGTTAGATGTGGGAAGTTCACAAATGTTCAATGTGTCTTGGTAAGTTTGTTCTGACATTGAAGTGATTTGACTAAAGTCATTTCGTGGCCATTCATGTTCCGATGAACCTAGAAATTCAGGGCCTGACCACCATAACTGGCTCTCCTGCAACTCATTAATAATCAATCCGCGAGTCGCCAAATCTGTAGGATTGTTACTAGAAGGTACGTAACGAAACTCTACATCGGTATGTGATTTAATTTCTGAGAGTCTTCGCTCAACGAACTTTGGTAGTAT